TGGGTTCACGTCATAGGTGATGCTGCTGTAGGCACCAGATGCAGAACCTGGATTTATAACCACGCCGCCCTCGTGTTTGTATGCGGTAAACTGATGGGTGTGACCTGTGACAAGGATGTCTACGTCAAGCTGTCTCTGTAACATCGCCAGTGAGTCCAGGTCTCCCCATGGAATAACCTTCAGAATCATTAAGACGTAATCATCAAATAGTAATACATAACAAATTTTTTGGTTTCTGTGAAATAGCGCATATAATATAAGAGTAAAAAATAAATCAAACCTGATGACCATGGCATAGTCCCAACTTGAATTGGCCAATGGTTAGTGTTTTGGTCTCTGGATATCTTGAATCTTCATCATACTCACCACGAGTTATATGCAAGTCGGGACAAAGAGTCTTTAGGTAGTCATGGACTTCCTGAATATAAATGACATGAAACTTAACTTAAAAATTTAATCATAAGAAATTCTACTTTCAAATCATAGTTAATAGGAATAGAAATAAATATCAAATGTAAAATATAAAACCATAACAAATGTACTGGATTATTTTTTTGTAGATGCAAACAGATACCTGATGCAATACAAAGGAGTAAATACACATGGACTGAAGTTTTGTTACACTGCTACAATCTGTGAATCATGGACTCTAACACAGACACCTCACACAACACGGTCGACACTGCTTATTTAAAAAATATAGGCCACTAACACCGGTACATATTTATTTTCTATATTTAAGTAAAATTTGAACACTATAATATATCTTAATTGACAATCTATATCGAGCAATTTGATTTAGTAAAAAAAATGTAAAACAAGATATGATACTATTTCACGTTCATTCATCTACTACAGAAAAGTTAGAAATGATGTTATCAACAAACATTGATGTTTTTAACCCCGTCATTGATCATCATTGCCTTAACACATGTTTAACTCATACATGTGTTCAAGGATTATCTAGGGTGTGTCAAAGCAAAAGAAAGTACAATTGGAACTCTTGTTTGAGTTGTCGTAGGACAGATGTCGGACGTGGGAACATGCCTAATCACATAAGTGTTTGTGCTTCATACGATACTAGCCATGCTAACAAACAAAAGAACAGCAAAACAACCTACAAACATTGTTTTCCGTTCTTGTCACAGTAGCATGGTATCCCTGATCTCAAAGGAGGTGATTGACCAGTTTTACACGCATAAAATATGTTTAGAAAATCATATACATTTTTTGACAATATCAACAAGAAAGGAAGAGGGGGCAGGAATCAATTATCAAAAGGTCCCCCCAACATGGCTTCGCCACTGGCCACAAGAATCATTACGAACCTTCCATACAGAAACCCAGGATTACCCAATTTTACTAGCTGTTTAAAAGTCATAAGTTGTCTACCTAACTAATAAGCTTGGACAACGATAAAAGCATGCAGCACAGCATAGAAAATGTGACAACATAAAAGTTGAGGTATCCGACAGATAAATGTTCAAATACACGCCGAGACAACTGTAACAAGTTAACCATTCCTGATGAACTTAAATTCTATAACTACAAGATTTTAAGATAAGAATATTTATTTCACAAAAAAAAAAATTGAGTTATGATTATGATAAGCATTAAGAGACGTACTTTAATACACAAGTTTCCAGTACATATGATGTGCTGGATCTTTCCAGGGACAAGCATGGACTTAAACTTTGCAGGAATATCAGGCGCCCTGTGGGGTATGTGCATATCCCCCAGGGCCAATACCAGCACCATCCTCAATAATCAAAAACTGAAAGTTGAGTTCGAGAACCTGCACAAACAAAGTATTGCCCATAAATTATAAAACAGCAACTAACCGTTAAAACAATTTAACTCACACAAGAACCAAGGATAAGACATGTACTTAAAATAAAAGCAATCAAGCCTAAAATAAGCAGAACAAGTTAGTTGACAAAGCAAAGCTCAATAGTCTCCCCGCATATGTCTAACAAGGAAACCACTTTGGAGCAGACATTGTTGAGGAATCCGGGGTGTGCCGGAAGAAACAACAAGCTAATGATTATGACCAACGAGACCAGAACACCACATCTCAATCTTTACAGAACTACCCAATGTTAAGTAGCTACTATATATCTATCAGATTTATCTTATCTGCAAAAACTAAGATCCTTAAAAACTATCTTGAACTTTTGAAGGGTATGATCTACAAGATAGAAATTTTCAAACCAAATTCAGATTTTATTGATAAAATTATCCAATCAAAAACATATTCAGTGGTGTGATATTAACTTGGATTTCGACTAGTTTAAATTGATCCTTCTATAAAGTTTACATATGCATAAAATATGAAGAAAAAAAACCTAATCAACCAACACTCCTTTCTTAGCACATAAAATATATACAAAATTGACGCGGAAGAAAGGGAAACGAAGGAGCGGAATTCGGAATGAGAGAGAGAAAGAAAGAACCTTGTCTTGTTTGATAATGACGGAAATGAGAGAGAGAGAGACACTCCGATCAGAAGCTGGTCGGTAGAATCAAAACACCGGCAGAGGCACCAATTCCACGTCAAATCAATTTCACGAATCCGTTACATCAATTTTTTTTACTTAAATACATTGTTGTCCTTTCATTTTTATAAAAATTTAAAGGTAATGGATTGTTGGTATAAAATATTTTACACGAATCGTTACATGACAACTTTAAAAAAAAATTTATATATAATTTAAAAAAAAATCAAACTTTTATAAAAATTAATAATTATGATTTTATTTATAGTATAAAATTATTTTACACTGTCGATGTATTTTCATTAAATTCTTTTATAAAAAGAAAAATTAAATATTTTATAGATGAAATGGACATGTAAAATAATTTTATATATTTTTTGGAAAAAAAAATTCACAATCGTCCAATAATAAACTAACAATTTACTATGTCATCTAAATAATTTTAAAATATAAAATTGATTTGACTGAATATACAATATTTATTGATTGATAGTGTAATGATAGTGTAAAATTGTTTTATATTGTCGGTTCATCTCTTATTTTTTCTTATTTATATTTTGTTAATATTAAAATTAATTTTATTAATCTTTTAATAAAGAATTATTAAATGTGTTTTAAGATACGTCTTTGTGGTTGATCAACAAAATATTTTAGCATGGTTGCAGGTTGAGTGAGTGATTCGTTGTTACCTCTTCTATTTATTATAGTTGTTGAATGTCTCAATATCTTTACGAAAAAATTGATTGTGTTAGAAAAATTTGTTGGATACAGTTTTTATGAGGATATTGAACAAATTTCTCACCTTCAATACATTAACAACACATTAATCATCAAAACAAAGAGATGCGCCACTATTCAAAATATGAAGGCAATTTTAATGTTGTTTGACGATATGTCGGGTCTAAAATCCAATTACCATAAAAAAAAACATGTCGATCGGTATGGTGGATCGAGGAGATTGCATAAGTTGCATGTTGCATGTCTACTTGTGCATATTATTGTATTTGACATGTGTATTTTTGTATATATGAAATATACCATCTGGTTTTGTATATTCTTTTTAGCTTTGGTTAGCTCATTTGTTTCTTTGGATTATCAATTGTGTTGTTGGTTTTTTTAATGTTTAGACTCGTTAGCATCTATCTCTTTTTGATCTTGTCGGAGGTTGAAAAGTTGCAGTGTGAGTCTATATTTGATTTATGTATTTTATGTGGCTCTTGCTTTTGTGCACTATTTAAGGGAGCACAAGTAAATGGAGGAAAGCATTGATCACGTTTTCTTTCTGTTTAAATTCGACTCAATTTCAATGCAAGCATGTCAATCATCAAAAAGGGGGAAACTGGAGTTGCATGTATTATATGTCTCTTCCTCATGAGTTAAAAGTTTTGATTGCTTGTATTTTAAATTTTTGGCTTAGTTTATATAACTAATGAGTCTCCACTTCAATTTTGTATTTCTGGATTGATTTTTAATCTATTTTTTGTTTGCATAAATCAAAGTGTGTGGTCATAATTTAAACAATATACTTCAAATCAATCTATTGAGTTTTTGGATCAAGAATTAACTTTTAGAATGATTAAGGTCATAACTATATTAGAGTCTCAGAAATCACTTGAAATTTTACAAAAATGAGATTCTAGTAGTGTGATTTGAATCACGTTATTCACTTGATTCGAGTCAGACTTATAGGGAGCTCATGGATCATTTTCAAGTTTTCATGATTTGAATCACAGACTTCATGATTCAAATCACACCACTTTGATTCGAATCACAAGACTGCTTGATTTGAATCACACTAAATTGAAAGTTTCATGGTTTTCTACTGCAACTCTAATTTGAATCACCATTTTTTATCACTTGAATCATGTGATTCAAATCACAGTTTGTGTGACTAGAATCACACAAATGGATTCTCATATGGTTTTTAGTTCTTGATTCAAATCACTTAATTTTCTGACTGGAATCATACCTCTTGCTTATGACTTGAATTATACGCAATTTTTCACTCATTTTTGTGCTAGATCTCCAACATATATAAAAGCTTTTTTTTTTCTCAAACCTCTCACAATATTTTTTTTTAAAAATACATACACTTTCACTATTGAGTTGAAAACTCACGACTTATTTTTCTCTCATTTTCAAAAAGGGTTTTGAATTTTTCTTGAGTTATTCCAAATGATTTCTTTATTCTTATACCTCATTCTAATTTCATTTTCGTGTGGATCTAAATCTCACCTTTGGAGATTTGTGATTGTTGAGGAGGTTCTGTAATTGTGTTTAGCGTTTCTTTGAAAGAAAATTTAAGATTTTAAAGGCTTGCAAAATGTGTGATGTTATGACTGGTTTTAACAAATCCAACGAAAAATAATGAGGTTCTTCTCTCCAGATTCACTTTGATAATTGTGTATTGAAGCTTGTGGATAAAGTGGGAGTTTTTCTTAATATTTATATAGAACAACACTCAGGATATCGATAGGATCAAAGAAAGATGTTGTAGAACAAAGACTTTGGAGTTGGATTGTTAGGGCTGGAAGATTCAAGATGATTTGTGTTGGGTGAGAATATAGAGAATAAAACTGTCTAGAGAGGGTGAATAGACCTCCCAAATAAAATGACCAGTTAAAAAACAGTTTTGAATTTTTTTATCAAAGTTTGAAAAAAAAATTGTTTGTGCTACAAAAGAAAATTACGTATAAAGTAATTATACTTATTGATCAGTATATACACAAAATAACTTAATCAGTACACAATACAACAAAGATCAAATTGAAGATTTAATCAAATTAAAAAACCAATCTATTGTAATAAATTTATATTGAATTTTTATAATATGTGTAAATATAAGAAATCAATACATATTAGAATTATATGATCATAATTTTCATTCTTAATCAACAAGACAAATCCAAAGAGTCGATTATAATAAAACCTATACTTAATTAATAAATTGTTACCAAGGTAAAAACCTAATGGCGTGTAGTTCTAGAAAAGCACTAAAAGCTATCTAACATGAAATTTCTACGATAAAGCAACATGTGGAGTATAGTGTTTCACATATTACAAGACATTCTATCTCGCCAAGAAGTTGTTGAGCGTTGTGTAAATCATGCGCCTGATTGAAGATTTGTTTCTATATTTGTCTAATCTTGTTTAAATATTGCACTTTTTAGAATATGGAAGTTTTCCCAAAATACCATTTTCCAATATTTAAAAAGAAAAAATCTTGATATGATGAAGATGTATCAAATCAATTAATGCAAATCAGCTTAATGATACAAACCCTAATGGGCTTTGAAACTGGACCTTGTTGTTATTTAAGGAGGAGCTCTCCGTTGTAAATACTCAAACCTTAAGAATAAAGCAAGACATTTTTAGTTTTTTTAGTCTTTTGTTTTCTTTTATTTTGTGTTGTTATATTATATTCCTAATTCTTATTTCTATATTAAGGAATAAAGTATTTTGAGTTGTAATATATTCGATCATTGTTAATTCTATTATAATTATTCAAACACTTGAGAGAGTGTTTGAAAAAAAGTGAAAGGAGTCTCATGTTTAGGGGGGGGGGGGGGGGTCTTGAATAGGAATTAAGATGTAAAACTAAAAAAAGGCATTGAATTGAGGGAGTTTAAATTCGACCAATTTATACTTTTGACTATTGAGAGTGAAGTTTCTTTCTTGGGTTAATGCCTTTTAGACGTAGGTGACATTGCACCAAACTGAGTTAACAATTTCTTATGTAATTTTACTTATGGTTATTATTTTACTGTTTATGTTCTAATATTTTCATACACATAAATTAGGAATTCAGCAAATATAATTTTAATTGGCATTAGAGCAGGCGCTCTGTTCTGGTTGGGTGAGCTCCAGGGGATCTATACATTTTTCTCAAAATTAACAATTCTAAAGAAGGAGGATCGGTAAATCAGTCACCTATTATAGATAACATAAACTATGATTATTGGAAAGCTCACATGGTTGTTTTCCTCAAGTCAATGGATAGAAAAACATGGAAATCATTCATTAAAGTATGGACACCCTCAATTGTTGTTGCACAAGATGGCATAAAATCCCTAAAGCCATATAATATTAGTGTAAAAAGGAAGATGAAGAAGCTCATGGCAACTCTCATGCTCTCAACTCAATTTTCTATGGAGTGGACAAAAACATATTTAGACTCATCAATACGTGTTCCAATGCCAAAGAAGCTCGGGAGACTCTCAACACTGCTCATGAAGGCACCTTTAAAGTTTGGATGTCAAGACT